GAAAAAAATAAGACAATATTTAGAATAATTAATTAGTGTTATGTGGGAGCTATGTGCTAGTGGGGTGTGAGTTGTGTTTAAGTGTGTTCTAACAAGATTGAGTTGGTTGATTGCTTTTTACTTCCTATATATGTAACATGGAGATTAAAGAAGAGTGAAGCCCTCTAGAAATATATTTTCAGTTTCAATATGAGATGGTATAAAAGCGCGTTCCCCGCTCTAGTTTTTTTTCCTTCTTAATCTACCAAACAACCATCATTGCTCTCCACTATTATCGGGAACTAATTGCCATTATCCAGTGTATTTTTGTTGCTATCCACCTATAATATGCAGTTGTCCAGTGTACTTTCAATTGTACGCTCTTGTCCACTGTCGTTCGCCACCATTCGCCACCGATCGATGTCATAGTTTAGTCTAGTGACCACCAGATCTGGTTCGTCTCTCCGTGTGATAGCCAACCTCGCTGATGCCAGAGTGTTGTTCCCCTCCACGCACTGCCACGAAACTCATTTTTGTGTGCCGTGAACAAACACTTATTGTTCACGCGCCACCTTCATAGTTGTCGCCGAACTCTCCTCTCTCTATTCTGCCCCTTATAACCTTGTTTCGATAACGTCTAGAAGCAACCCTTTTCAAAGTCATCTAGATTTTGTTTTTATTTTTCTTGACTAGTTCTTTAACCCTTGATCAGAAATGGCGACTAAAAGTACCATTTCATTTTCTAGAAGTCCCTCAATCACTTCTAAGAAGCTAAATGACAAAACTTACCTATCTTGGTCGGCTATAGTTGAAATGTGGTTTCTTGGTCAAGAACATTATGATCACTTTGAGCAAGATGGCAGCCATGTACCTGTTGAAAAACTGATAAGTGGAAACAAGTTGATTTCCAGTTATGTGCCCTATTATGGCAATCAGTGGCACCCAAACTTTTTATATCTCTTAGTGGTTTTAAAACTTGTCACTCCTTTTGGAAGAAAGCTCAAAGCATCTATGCCAACAATATTCAACGTCTCTATGACATGGTAAATAAGCTTGTCTCTCTTAAAATGGCAGACCATGATATGATGTCCTTCATAACTGATGCTCAATTTGATGTAAAAGAATTGAGGATGTTTTTGGAAGTTGACTCTTTGGAGGATATCAAGAAGAAACTAGACAAATATTATATGGTGTTGATCCTTCGTGCTCTACATCCAGACTTTGATCATGTCAAAGATCAACTTTTGATCAGTCATGATGTCTCTTCCATGGAAACCTTGACCAATCGCCTTCTACGTGTCCCTACACCTCAGACTCTAGAACCTCATGAACTAGTGGGACCATCTGTCATGGTTGGCACACGAGGAAGAGGAGGATCTGACACTAGAGGAGGAGGACGAGGATGTTGGGGATGTCTTTAATGCACATACTGTAAAAGAATGGGTCACAATCAAGAAAATTGCTACTTCTTGCATGATTTTCCTTCCAAAACCGCTAATATCTCGATGGCTGAAACTATCCATTCCAAGTTCACTAAAGAAGAATATTACGAATATTTGTGGTTCTAACTTCAAGTACATCTACAACTTGTATTTCTCAATCAATGGAAACTCAAAATTCATGGGTAATTGACTTAGGTGCTTCTAATCACATCTTTGGTAATACATTCTTATTCTCAACCATTTCCTTTCAAGAAAAACCTTCATTCATAACTCTTGCCAATGGCTTTAAAATTTCTTCAAAGGGTGTCGGTCAAGCCTCATTGTCTCCCTCTCTAAATCTCAATTTTTTCTTATTTGTCCCTAACTTCCCTTTGAATTTGATTTCCTTAAGTAAGTTAACCAAAATATTAAATTGTTCAATAACCTTTGATAACAAATCTTTTATTATACAAGAACATGGGTCAAGGAGATAAAATGGAGAAGGATACAAAGTTAGAGGACTATACTATTTTGGATCTCTTCCGCATATTTATATTGAACATAGATTATTATTTTAAGGACATTTTATTTTATTTACACTTCAAACTAAAAATTATTAGTATTATTGTAAGGATGAAGAAATTTGGTATCATAGGATTTACAGTGGACCAAAAAATTTGGTATCATAGGATTTACCGTGGTTGTAAAATAATGAGACTCATTATTTTAAAATTAAACGATCAATTATAAAATAATTAGATTCATAATTATTTTCAAATATATGATCTCTAGAAATTAATTTTCTATTTCTCTTTTCTCTTTCTGAGTTGACCATGTCTCTAGAGAATCCGATATCAATGCGTATATTCGGATAATTTAGTTTATAAGAGTCTTTGATATATGGTGTATATCTATGTGATTATTTTGGAGTGCATTGTATTATGATTGAACATGTTTCCTAAATATATGGTGCTTCTATTATAAATTAGCTTACCCTCTTGTATTTTTTTGTTGTGTATGTGATTGTCTTTTTCTTTTTCAATGATAACATTATTGGTGTGAGCAAATGAAGATGTAAGTGTAAGGGCACATTTTGAAGGATGTTCTAGCCAATTGTCTGAGTCATGGAACGATATTAGATCATGTTAGGTATAGTTTTTTGTAATAGAAACATAATATAGAAGCTTGGAATTTATATTTCTTAGGGGTAGAAAAACGAGCCAGTCCAACCCGTTTTGGCCCGTCAAAAACAAGTCGGGTTGGGCTATATTGTATTAATGTAAGATATATCTTGGATAAGTTGTTTTCTGAATATTTATAATGAAATCTTATATTTTAGTACTATTATACTATTAAAACCTTATAGATATACCACATGTGAGTTCATTTTTTTAAAACCTTTATTTCTATTTTTTACTTAAAAAAACTAAAAAGAGGAGTTCAAAATGGGATGTTACATTCATGATATCAGAGCAGTTCTTCCTTAGGATGACTTAAAGTTTGTTGGTTTGTGATTCCTTACGTGTATAAATTTTTAAGTTCAGATTGTAGATATGTTTATGAAACTGGAAGTATTAAGAACAAAACAGATCTTCATAGAGTGATGAGGGTTCACACTTATGACTATATCAAATTTTTTTTTCTTTTCTTAATTTTGAAAGTTTGGGAAAAGTAGAGTGATAGACAACATGTAGTGGGTAAAAAGTATGTTATGAAGTTAGTAGATGTTGAGAGAGTATGTATACAAAAGTTATGTTTCTTAAAAGAAGAAATAAAGTTGTAGTTTCAGTTGTGTTTTTGATACTAGACTAGACATATTTTTGCCTTTGGAGAAGGCCCATAAGGTAAGCTTTTGCCTCAAAGATATGAAGTTGTTGTACGATGACTATTAAGGGGTGAGGAAAGCAAAGTTATGGTTTTGTGGGATGGACAAGATGTGGAGTCTAGAAGCGAGACCTTGGATCAAATGAGCTTCAAGAGGAGGTTTTAAGAAAGGTGATATTTCCAGATAAAGTAAGAGTTAACAAGACAAACAGAGTTCATACAATTGGTACAAAGTGACATGTCAATGCATGTGTAAGCAACAAGGTTTAAGAATATGACAATGCGCAATTGAAAGCAGTGTTTGAGGCTTGGAAGTGTAGGAAGCTTGTGAGAGACTTGATGATAAAGTTCGAGAGGTCAATGACTTGATGTTGTAAGTAGAGGTTCATCTCTTGGTGGAGGTGATTACTATAATAGAGAGTTTTGAGGACCAATCAAGTATGGCGGTGCTTTCTCAAGAGAGAGAAAAAATTTGTTGGTAAAGGTAAGGTATCATAAGAGCCTTATGTTAAACCAGCAACATAAAAATGTAGTTGGATCCCTTCAACAACAACAATTGCATCAATAACAATTACATAAGAAATGTTTAGGTTTAGAGGTTCTGTTAGGTTTTTTGGTAAGAAACAAAACAAGAAACCCAAACACACCCTCTAACTATCTCACACAGAAAAGAAAGAAAGAATGAATGGATGTTATTCAGTATGGTAATAACAGTGTACAAGAAATCAATGGGACCCTAATCTCCCCCACAAGACCAAAAGATACCTGTCTATACAACTAACTGTCAAAAATTGTCCAAAGCAAAGTACAAAATTCTATTTATACAAACCCCTTTCCCGTCATTCCTAATTGCTAAAGCAGTTAGGCTATTAATTCTTTCTCCTCCTCTCATACACTCTTCACTTCTTAAGATTACTCATCGCCTCATCATCAACGTTGTCCTTAAGGTTGAAATCTGGATATTGATCCTTAATAGTCACCATATCCTCCCACGTTGCTCCCTCTCTTCCTCTTGTCTATCATTCCACCAATATTTGTAAGATCCTTTCTTCCCCTTGTTGTATTTTTCTCCTATCCAAGATTTTGACTGGCCAAAAAGTAGGCCCCTCCACTTGCAATTCTGGTGGCAGTTCTTTCTCTACCAGGTATGAATCTTTTCAAAGAGGGAGGACCCCTGCCATATACTGTCTCGAAAGGAGTGCACTTGGTTGCACCTTGATAGTTTGTATTATACCATACTCAGTCCAAGGCAACACTATACTCCAATTTTGTGGTTACTCAAAACAAAAACACCTTAAGTAACCTTCCAGAATCCTATTCAACACCTCAGTTTGGCCGTTTGACTCTGGGTGGTAAGCGGTACTCATCCTGAGTTGAGTTCCCTACATCTTAAATAGTTATCTCCAGAAAATACTTAAGAACAAAGGATCCATGTCACTGACAATGGAAATCGGGATCCCATGTAGCCAAACTATCTCTTTGACAAAAACCTCGGCGAATTTCTTGGCAGAATAAGGATGTTTGAGTGGTAGAAAATGACCATATTTACTTAGAGGGTCCACCACTACCAACACTGCATCATATCCTTGCGATTTTGGAAGCTTAACTATAAAATCCATACTCACCTCTTCCCAAACTGCGTGAGGTATGGCAACGGTTGTAACAGCCCTTGCGGAGACGATGCAAGATACTTGTGTTGTTGGCATACCAGGCAACTCGCAACAAATTCAGTGACTTTTTCATCCCTATCCAATACAAAGATTTGGCCACCTTCCTCTAAGTCCTATAAACACTCGAGTGGCCTCTTGTTCTTGTCATGTGGAACTCAACCAAAAGCTTGGGAATCCAAATCGATTTGGCTGAAAGCACCAATCTCACTTTGTAATGCAGCCTGTCTTGCTCTAAAGTAAAAGTTGAATGAGAGTTGAGATCCTTCTGAATATCCTCTATCACCTTTACCAATACCTCATCCTCCTTAACCTCCTTCAACACTTCTTGGAAATCCTGCCAATAAGGTCTGGCAATTGCCCGTAACTCCTTTTCTTCCTCTCTACTACCTTCCTTTCTCCTTGACAGGGCATATGCTACCCTAGTGGTGGTCCCTGCTTTATACAAAATCTCAAAATAGTATCCCAAAAGTTTAGCCATCAATTTTTTTGATTCTGAGTGGTGATTCTCTGTTCTAACAAGTACGTGAGACTTCTCTGATCCGTGTGCACAATGAATCTCTACCTTAAGAGATAAGGCCTCTAATGCTGGATTTCCAAGACCAGAGCCATCAACTCTTTCTCGTATATCGACTTGCTTAAGGACCTTTCGGACAAAGCCTTGCTAAAGAAGGCGATGGGTCTCTTTCCCTGGGTCAGAACTACCCCCACTCCTCCTGAAGCATCACATTCTATGTGGAAAGTCTGGCTAAAATTTAGGAATATCAACACGGGTGCTGATGTACCAGCCTCCTTCAACCTTGCCATTGCATCCCTAGCGTGCTCTGTCCAAACAGATTGCCCCTTTTTCAAAAACTCTGTCACGAGTTTTGTGATTTTTCCATAGTCCTTCACGATTCGCCTGTAGTATCCTGTCAAGCCTAGGAACCCTCTCAAAGCCTTTAGAGTTTTAGGTTTTTCCCACTCCATTACTGCCCTTATCTTTTCCTGATCCATCTCAATGCCCCTCTTAGAAATTTGGTGACCTAGATATCTGATCTATGATCTCCCAAATTCACATTTCTTCCTATTAGCTATCCAATTATTCTGTTCCAGCACCTACAGTACCACTCTCACATGTTTCAAGTGCTCCTCCCAATTCGGGTTGTATATCAATATATCATCAAAGAAAACCATCACAAATCTCCTCAAATAAGGATGTAATAAGTTGTTCATGGAGCTTTGAAAGGTTGATGGAGCGTTATTGAGGCAGAAAGACATCACCAAGAACTCATAATGGCCCTGGTGAGTCCTTGTTAGAAAAGATGTGCTCTGTTTCTCACACCAAGAGGAGGGAGGTGAATTGGTGTTGTATAAAAATGATCGCTTTTGAAATCTTTTTCGCAATATAATAAGTCTTTGAACCTTTTCTTGACTCATAAGTAAAAATGTATGCAATGTAACAGTATGTGTATTCGAATAGAGACAGAGTATAAATTATTTAATGTAGAGAGATAGGGAGAAGAAAATTCAAACTTTGAGTTTTATACTGGTTCGGCCAACTGCCTACATCCAGTGTCCTTCCACTCAACCCGAGACTGGAAGCCAATGCACTATAAAGATCTGAGTTTTTACAACAAGGGCTTTACAGCGACCACACTGTCAAAATGTAAATCACCTCTCCAACTCACTAATCTAATATAGGCAAATACAAAATGACTAGCAGCAAGAACAATCCTCTTTACAGTCACCCTTTTGAGACCCTTCTCAAAGTCAAGAACCATGTTCTTTTTCCTGTATACAC